CTTCCCCGTCGCATCTCCTGTCGCTGGGAGAATATTCTGCGAAAATACATACAACCCCTTCCTCGCCCTCCTACCTGTTTATTTCCAGCTAGTTTACTTCCAGCTCCTTTTCTCGAAAATTTTCAGAAACGAGTCTTCATTATTGGTGAATTGAATTCACCAACTCATTGCAGAAAAACCTAATGAGAAGAGGTGTGGGGAAATCCCATACCATTCTCATTAACTTTGTCCCTTCTTCAAGAACCCTCCCTAAGATAGGACCCCTCTCCTTTCCTGGAGGATCCCTAAAATTAATGTGGTCGATCAGTGGGTATTATGACTATCACTTTTCAGTACCACTCATAGGCTATAGCACTCCATATCTGAGTGCAGTAGAAGGCGTGACTGCGAGAGCGGCGGGTGCTGCCCTCTGATATGGACGATATCCCATTCACTTTCACCGGGCTATTTAAACCCTCTTTCGGATAGAGCTGAAAATCAAACTTTTGATCTTGGCGTCGTTAGTTTCATGTTGCGTCTTCTTGTACCATTTTTCAAATTCATTGAAGTTTATGGCGCCATTATTGTCCGTGTCGACGGAATCGAAGGTGTTTACTGCAAAAGTAAAATGTCATTCATAAACATGTATAATACTTAATATTGCAATCAATAATTCTGTAATTTATCAGGTTCCGTCAGAGACTAGGACGCTTCAACTCGATCGCGTTTTAAACGCGTTTGTGATTGGTCACTGCGGCGATCCACCAATGACAGACGCCATTTTCAGGCACGGCGTGAGGTCTCCACACTAGACATTCTCCCCAACTCCAAAACATCAACATTGCTTTCTCGAAAAATAAAAACAAAACAAAGCGAGATAAAATAAAAATAAATTACTGTTTTCAATGGGAGGCTGTAGGACGGCGTGTACAAGAGCTGTCGTTGCAGCAAAAACGAGAAAACGCATCATTCCCTGAAAAAAATTTGATAAAAAATCAGTCCGCAGTAAGGCAATTGATAACGACACTGTTTATAACGACATGTAAAGCGAATTAGGTACTGCCAAGGAAAACGTGAAAAATACAATACAATGTAGAGAGCAGTTCTTTCTACAGCACAGCATGACCATAAAAAAAGTGATCGGTGAAAGGACACCTTTTAGCCCCTAGAAACAAACTTCGTCCACCTCCACACCCGCTCTTGCCTACGAAGGGCCTGCCCCTTTTACCACGAGAATCAGCACTATTCACCTTCCCATCCCTTTTTGCTACGAAGGGCTTGCTTTCTATATGGAGCTCGTTGACCGCGAAAAGAAGGGTAAAAACAGCGCGAAATTCGATTCTTTCCCGAAAATATCACATCAGCAATACATGAATGCAGGTCGCTTTCAGCAAATAATTATGATACCTCTCCCAGCGACATGAATGCGACTCTCTTCAGAGTGTATGGTGGATATAACTTCATCAACATGGAGCAGGGACGGGAAGTAGATTGAAGCCCTTTTCCAGCAATGATGCCATCTGAGTCCACCAATGTTGATGGGAAAGACTGTTCTGGTTGGGCTCCGATCCATGCCGCTTCATAAGCCCTTGCATTTGCAGGGTGATGACTGTACGATCTACTGTATTTCCGATCCCCTCAAGTTTGCCTTTCTTCGACAAAAGTGGAAGGCAGTAAAGAAAACAGCAAGAAACCTGTTCGTCAGGCTCCATACCAGCTTCTTTAGATCGCCGTAATCAACCTTAGATCTAGTTTCGAGCTCGGAAAATCGTTTCAGTAATAAATTATGCAAAAACTGTACTTATATACCCTAATCGAACCACCATTAGCTTGACCTACCTCTTCAATAAATCGCCTGACAATGGAGACCTCCAAACCGTCTTGAATAGACTCAGTCAACAGCAGTGTTCCAAAATATCTGGTTTCGTCTCATAACAATCGCGGCCGGTGTACTATTAGGTCCCTGACTGAACCGCACCTAGCTTTCTACCAATCACTACTATAGAAAAGACAGGCGGGGATTAATTCGTTCTCAGCCGCCTTTTCTACCAGTAGATACTGGTTAATGAATCAGATTCCAGGAAGAAGTTTAAGAGACAGCACTGAAACATTCCTGTCGGTTGAACCCCCATACCTGGTATGCACAATATCAGCTCTATAATTACGATGCCATGGCGTTAAGAGCTGCCAGCCAGCAATATGCGTAAAGAGGCGCTTTCCGTTGATGTAGATTGGGCGCGTCTCAATCCCTAATCCCTCGAAAAAAGTCAGATCTGCCTGATATGAAAAAAAAACACTGAATTGCACAGCAGCCGGCTATGCAAGAATAAAGCCAAGTCATATCGAATAGGAATAGGATGCGTGGCAGACTCCACAAAGGGATGAGAAAGAGACTGCTCTCTTCCATGCCGTTGGTGGCAATAGTAGATTCCTTTCCTTCTGGTATTTTATTCACCTAATCTGAGAAAACCCTTGAACATTTCAGCAACCGGATCGTAACCTCTGATCTGTATTTCCCACGGACAGATGAAAGAGTTTTGGCTTTGCCTTGATTACCAGCACTCTCTGCGAAGCAATCCAATTACAGAAACCTGAACGATATATAGCAAAGTCTGGTATCAACATGCCGAAACCAGACTTCTAAACCCGACTCATAGTCGTGCTAGCGTATCCCTATCAGTCATTCTTCGATATTATTCATTCTCATTGTCCTGTTGCGTCAACAATAATGATTGATGGGTGGTCCTCTGCATTAGGACAAGAACTCAGGGCTAAATCTTCCGGCATTGATCAATCTCCATTCAAAAGGCACCACGTATTCTCCGTTCGTTTAGAATGATTGTGAGATTCAGAATTCTATTTGACTTAGGACTTGCGAGTATCAGCAAATGTACAGACGAATGTTTTCATTTTGCCAGAAATATCCAGTCCAAACTGATCGGTAACGGAAGGATGGAAGGCTCGGTTACACGTGAAGGGGAGCTGATTCCTATGCATACAGGGGGGGGCCAAAAAAAGTCACTTTTCTTCATTGACTTTCGAGGCGCTATAAGTTACACTTTATTGAATTCTGATCGGACATTTTTACCACCATATTAAAGAGCATATCAAATACTATCACTCCGCCACAGCCTTCTGGAGGAGCGCCATCGAGAGATTCTGCCACGCGACCGTGAGTGGGTGCCGAGATCGTTGATTTCTCCGCCACTGTAGACCACCCTATTGAACTCCGCCCGAACCAGGGAATCGGGAGGGGGGGGTTTAGGCCAGGTTACCTA